TCTCTCTCTCTCTATATATATATATATATATATATATATATATATCTCCATCCCAACAAATGCAGCAACCAAACAAATGTTCCACATAATATGACATTTCTATTGTTGTAATTGGCGTTGTTTCGAAGAGGCATTGTTCAACTTGTTTGTTGTGCTATGACAGCGGTGATTGTAGGTGGCTGTGGTTTCCTAGCCTCTTCATGCTTGAGAAAAATCTCATGGTCGAGCATCTTTTCATACAATTCTCCATATGAGATTGTGGAATCTCTTACACGAATGGCGGCAAAAAGTTTACGAATTCAGATCCAAGTCCAGTAAAAAAATTTAACAATGAGTTCTGGATTAGATACAAGTGCTCCGGCTGTTGCAAATTCATTACACAATGATCTAACTTGATGGAGATAATCAACAACAGGACGAGTGTCTTTGGTTACACGGGCCAGCTGGTCACACAAACTAAAGATTCTTGTTTGAGACTTGTTTGCATAAGCACTATGCAGATCGTTCCAGGGAGCTTTGGCAGAGTCAGCAGTGGCAACAAGAGTTGGTTCAACAGAGGCTAAGATAGCATTTTGGATCAACTGATCTTGACAAAACCAAACAAGAAACACATGATTTTCGATATCTTGATTGTTTTGAGAGAGCATGTGAGGGAGGGGGGGGCAGGAATGGATCTATCGAGATGGTCATAGATATTGTGGCCACGCATAAGCATCGATACTTGATCACATAGAGAAGTTGTGGCTGCCAGCTAATTTGATTAGCAACTGTGTGACATAAGTGAAGGTACTTGTGAGAGTGGAGAACAGAGAAAGTACTTGTGAGAGTCATAGACGCTCTGATACCATAAAGAGTAAGGCGATATTTGAGAATGGGTCGATGTTTTTATTAATTTATGGTGTGTGGTATACAAAGGGATATGCCCAGCTGATACAAAGTCCTAACATATACAAAGTCTGTATATGATAACAATAAGGGGTCGTTTGGTAGACTATATAAGAATAATGCTAAAAGAGTGTATTAGTAATGCATGTATTAGTTATGCTTGCATTAATTATACGTAGATTATTTTAATGCATTGTTTGGTTTGATGCATTAAAAATAGTATATATTGCATTAAAAAAATTATTTACAAAGATACCCTCCACTTTTATGGTGGAAAAGATGTAAAAAAAGGTTTTGAGAGACAATTGGGTCTTTTATCATTTTAATGCATGCATTAAAACCATTGCATTGCTAATACCTAGAAATCCATGGTATTAGCAATGCACACCTTAATACACAATAGAGTGTATAACTAATGCAAGCATTAGTTATACATAGGTTGAAAAAGAGTACCAAACAAGGTACTAGTAATACACAAAGCTAATACATGCATTATTTTTCTTAATACACTCTACCAAACGATCCCTAAGAGATAAAATAGGATAATTAAGTGGTTGAGATGGACTCTAATTCTAGAAAATGGAAAAACAACTACACAAGAATAAGCTAAAACGTAGGAAGAATATTTTGTCGTTATTAGTTTCAAGACAGAATCTTGATTACATTCATAGATTGTAAATAGGTGTGATCTTGTTTATTGGAAGGATATTCGTTGACTTAAGAGGGTATAGGCAGAACAGTTGGAAATGCTTCTTTAGTGTTACAAAGGTAGTTGGGCTCGAGTTTAGTGGAAGAGTTTGGGTAAGTCCTACAAGTGGTAGGTCGTAGTTTTTTACTCCCCTGAGCAAAGAGTTTTCTATGTAAAAATCTTGTGTTGATTTATATTCCATAATTTACTTTCCTGCATAAATTCTCGCATAACTTGATTCTTTAAATGCTATTTTGCATATTTATTTCCGTTGGACATAATTTCATTGTATAACTAGTCATAGAACATATAATGTCTGCTTCAGTTTTCGCTCAATTGACAGTTTCTCGAATTTCATAGGCCAAATGATAATATGAAGCCCAACTAAGGAAGGATAGCTACTAGATTTTTCCTTTTGCTGTTCTAATTAACAGTGACTGAAATTACACAAAAAATATATTGTGAGTGAAGGTTTAAAAAAAGAAAAAATTGTTGTAAGAACTGCACAATGAAGAAGGGAGAAAGTGTCAAGAACGTGAAATAATGCGTGAATAAAGGAATTCGTTCCAAGTATCGGGCAATCCAGGGAGACACCAATGGATACAATCAGCATAAGTTGCGGGATCAGCCTGTTGCTCAGGCATTAGCATTTTGCCTTGACGAATTGTGTGAACTGATGTGTGTGCATCTTTTCTATACTCTGATAATGTTGTAATGTTGAGAAAGTATACTGGAACGTTGATGGATCTAGTCACATTTGCTGCTATCACAAACAACCTTTTATCTGTTCCAACATTTAGCGGCATTGATGTGTTCAGTATTGGGGATGTCTCTTTTGCACATTTTATTCCATCTGAATTTTCCCAATCTAAGCTCCTGTTTAAATAACGAATTAGTATATTTTATAGTTAATGTCAACGAAAATTCAAAAGAAAAAAACGGATTTATTTTACTTGATATGAAGAGGAGACATGCTCATGAAGAAGACTTGGGTGCGATTGGGATCTATATTTTTATCGACCCATTGGGACCAAGTTGCCAACACTCTTTTATAAGCTGTTGGTCTGTCTATCTCATCGTATTCTGTTGCTCCTTCATCGAACGATCCTCGTCTGTTAGGTAGGAAACACAAAATCACACAATAATTAATATCCATGTTTTGCAATCTGGAATTTTAAATTTGTTTGGTATATATGAATTATTTTACTTACAAAATTTTCATAGAAAAAGTGTTCATCCACCAAATGTATGTGTTGAAGATGAGATAGTCAACATTCTTCCAGTTGTTGCCATGCTTGTCGATAGATTCAGGCATGATGATTCTGTTCAAGATGCTATGCATATTTGGATCATCTGAGTTTGACTCCACTAGAAATGGAGCCCAGTAAAATTCCACCGTCGCATTGTAATCCTGCGTATATTCATATAAAAAGACAGAAAAAGTTATTCCTTCTCTCTTATTTTATATGAGTTAGTTTTACTCGAGTTTAAGAAAGAAAACCTTTTAAAACTTGTAATTTAAAATAAGTGATAGATATTTGTGTGACTATAAATCATTTCATTAAATGTAAAATAAGTATTTTAAAATTAAATTGTTACTCCCTTTGTCTCAATTTTTGTGACACAATTTCATTTTTCGAGAATCAAATAGTTTAAGTTTGATCGAGAATTTGTTCATGGAATTTTCAAATTTTTTAAAATCAAATTTATGTGTTTGTAAACTACGAAAAAGGTACTATAAGTCACAATAATTAACAATTCAAAATATTTTAAAAAAAAATTACGATAAAAAATAGATTTGTTTGAATTTTGAAATTCGAAATGTGTCACATAAATTGAGATTGAAAGTATTTAATACAGAAATATGTCATTCTATTTTGAACTGACTAAAAAGGAAAATGAATCATATAAATCGGTAGAGAGTAATAGAATACATACACTAAAACTCAATTTTCCAATAGACCAACCACTATTGGAATTTAGAACCTTTCATTAATATTAGGTGAAAAGAGATTTAAATAGAATATGAATCCTTTTCATTACGCAGTGGTGACGTGTCCAACTAATCAAGATTATTTATTACGCAACAGTATATCATTAAATTGACGAGTGGAGATGCTACCTTTAAAGCACACTAGTTCATACTTATTTGGGATACTTATTAAATTAATATTATTAATTAATGAGGTAATATTAAAGTGATTTTAATTAATACAAAAGTAGCATAAGAGTTTAAATATAGTATAGCAATAAGGTCTTATCAAACTAAGTAAAGCCAAAACATAATCATTATGTTTAATCAGAGAATCAATCTTTTTAAAAAGTTATTATTCCTTTTATCCTATTTAATACGGAAAAAGGCCAAAAATACCTTTGGACTATTCGAAAAGGTTCAAATATACCCTTCATCCATCTATTTGTCTAAAAATATCCCTCAATCCACCTTTTTGGTCCACCCTTACCCTTAAAACGTTGAATTTTTTCTTAAATTATTATTATTATTATTTATTATTATGTGGCAGATTTCTATTTGCTAAAGTTAAAACCCCACCTTCATCCCTTTATTTAACCCACCCCATGACCCAATTACCCATCTAATTAAAACACCCGACCCTTTACTAATAACATTATTTTATATAACTGAATTTATAAATATTACAAAAGCTTATTTTTAGAATTTTAACCTAATGTTGTTTAATTTTAATTTTTGTATCTAGCCAAATACTGATATTAATGAAAATTTAATTTTGTTAGAAATGTTTTTTGTACCTACACTTATCATAGAAACTTTCACTAAAATATAAATGAGAGTTAAAAATTTTCTTTATTATTTATGATAATTTAATATTTAAATTTTGTTCCCAACCCATAATTTTGGAGTAACAATTTTTTAAAATTTTTTTTTTTTTTATTATATGTCATGTAATTTTTTCGAGAAAATTTTAGTGAACCACTTGCCACTGTCGCCCATGAAGAACTCGATGCGGCTCCTTCTCAGAAAACAAAAGAAGTACATTTTAGTTTTCTTTTTGTGCAGAAATATCATTCTGATTTACTCAATAAAACAACAGTTCAAAAAATGATGCAAGAGAGATTTGTTCTTCTCATACAGAAACAAAGATTTTAGACATAAATGAATAGGGAAAATACATTCCGTATAACTTCACAACTCAAATCATATAATACTCCTTTCGTGATGCATATAATGAAACATGCCCAATATTTTCCCCAGAAACCAGTCAATTCAAGAACCATTCACCATAAATGTTTCAAAATGAAAGAGACGGGTGCTTGAATTAAATGGGTAATTGGGTCATAGGGTGGGTTAAATTAAGGGGTGAAGGTGGGGTTTTAATTTCAGCAAATAGAATTCCGCCACATAATAAAAATTAATTTAATAAAAGTTTGTTAGTTTTAAGGGTAAGGGTGGACCAAAAAGGTAGAGTGAGGAGTATTTTTAGCCAAATAGGTGAATGAAGGGTATATTTGAACCTTTTCGGATAGTCCAAAGGTATTTTTGGCCCTTTTCCGTATTTTATATGACTTACTTTTTTTTAAGTAAGTTTTAAAAAGAATTACACATTATTATTTTCATTTTCTTTCTTATTGAATGTTAAATCAAATTAAATTCATATAAATTGAGACAAAAGAGCATTGGCTAGGAAAATATAGTTACCTGAATTGTGAAAATTGATAAAGAACCAGTTTTGCTTAAGCTTTTTCTTGCAGAAGGAACAACAGATTGAACCAAACAAACCATGGATTCCCATTGATTCCTGTTTAAAGAGTCTCCTACAAACATGAGTCTCTTGTTCCTCAATTTCTCAAGAAGCAATCTTGGTTTAAACCTGAAATTATTTTTAATTAAATGGGTAAACACATAAAGCAACAGCGGACAGAATTTTCAAAAAGACACCTTAAACAATTTTGAACTGATATTATTCATAGATGAAGGATCCTTGGTCTTACTTGGGTAAAGAACAGTCTCTGGGTTGCCATCTCCAGTTCTGATACATAGAGTCCTGTCTTCCATTCCTCAAGCAAGTAACTTGAGAAGTGAGGAACTCACATTGATCTTCTTTGTAAATTGGGTGACTTACATTATCATTTGGGAAAAGGCTCAAATATGCCATCGAACTTTTAGAAAAGGCTCATTTATGCCATCCGTTAAAAGTTTGGCTCATTTATGCCATTGCTGTTAAAGAAAAGGCTCATCCATGCCATTTTTTTAACTCCGGTTTTGCAAAACCATTTTTTACACACCAAACATGGTTTAACACTTTTCTATTGGTGTTTTTTTGGATCAAATGTACATTTTTTGCTTCTACATCCTTAAGAACACCAAGAACACATGAAGAACATAAACAACTCCAAAATTTTCAACATCTTCAATTCTTCATGAATCGCCTCAAATTTCAAGAGTAGTTTCGCTCCGAGCTAGATACCAAAACTCAATTTCTTTTGAGCTCGAATTCAACCTAACTCAACAAGACCCAATTGAAATTTCTTCAAAGTTTCAAAACTTGAACATTCTTTAATGGTAGATTCTCCAAAACTTCAAATCATTTGAAATTTTGAACATAAACTCAAAAAACACTAGTCAACAAAGATCTAATGTTAAAAACAAGAATCAAAGCAATTTTTGGGACTGATTTTCGTTTTTTGGAATATATATTTTTAAATATGGGTGAATTTTTTGAACTCTACAAATGATTTTAGAATTTTTGTTTTTTTTTAAAAAAGAAATTAATGGTGTAGCCGAAATTTGAGATGATTTCGTGAAGAATTGAAGATGTTGAAAATTTTGGAGTTGTTTATGTTCTTCATGTGTTCTTGGTGTTTTTAAAGAAAAACAAGCAAAAAATGTACATTTGATCCAAAAACACCAATAGAAAAGTGTTAAACCATGTTTGGTGTGTAAAAAATGGTTTTGCAAAACCGGAGTTAAAAAAAATGGCATGGATGAGCCTTTTCTTTAACAGCAATGGCATAAATGAGCCAAACTTTTAACGGATGGCATAAATGAGCCTTTTCTAAAAGTTCGATGGCATATTTGAGCCTTTTCCCTTATCATAAACCCAATTCCCTATAAACAGATCGCAATCATCAGGTGGCAATTCAATGCTCTCATCATGATCTACATCTTCGTCAGGCATTTCAATGCTCTGTCCTATATCTGTCTCGACTACCGTCCTTGAGTTCATTACCATTGATGATGATGAAATTACACTGTTTTCATCACTTTCTAATTGAATTTTGGGTCTTGAGAATGGGAATTCAGCAATAGACTTGAAATCTTCATTGTATATGAAACAACTAAACAAGAATATGGAGAAAACCACGACAACTATTGACAGATTATTGTTCTTCTGTCCGCCGTGCTTCATCTCTGTTGAGATGAGAAATGCCACTACTGCTCACAATTGGAAATATAAACAAAACTAGCATCCCTAACTTTTTCTTTTTCTTATTATATTATTTGATTTGTTACCAAAAGTATTTGGTGAAATGGGGTTTTCAGAAAGATGTTGATTTAGTAGAAAATTGTCATTCTCAGATTTTGGTATTTGTTTCAAACGAACAACTACCATTGTTAGATGTGTGATGTGTGATGTGAGAGAGATTGGGAGATAGGAGTGATCTCAAAGCGTTATTCATCTCTTTATTTTATCTTTCTAGATTGTTTTAGAACAACACCACCAAAAAAAATAGTACAACCGACACATTAACATTAATTAGGAACACATACTTCACTATCATATACTATTATATATATATTTAAAATATTACGTATTTTATTATTAATTAAGAGTTTTAATATATATTTAAGAAGATACAATTAGATACATGTATTTTTACTATCAAATGTACTAAAATAGGGAAAGTGGCGAACAAAATAAGGAGGGAGGCGAGCAAGATTTTTTATATACATTAATTCACATGTATCTGAGATATCAGATACATAGGAACGTGACAAGTGAGATGGTAGAAGGTGAGTGAGGCGAGCGAATTTGTTATATATTCTAAGTAGATGTGAATTCACTTTGATACAATATATCTAGAACAAATTACACCTAGTGTTGACTCCATGTATCTAGAGATACATGTATTTAAGCGTATCTAAACGTATCTGAAAAGCACCAAGACCTGGTAAACTACATAATATTATAAACTAGAGTGTATCAAAAGAATTAACTCCTAAACTAAACAAATTTATGTAGGTTTTCTTAATTTTTATACCAATTGATTATGTTTTTATAATGTGTGGAATGATATCTATTATTATTTCCAAAGCAAGTTAGTAGACAAGCCATAAGTTGTTTCTCAAATTTAAAACATTAACTTCAAATCAAATTTTAAATTTTCATGGCCAAATAATGATTTTCAAATACAATAGAATTTATTCTTAAAATGTGAATCGTACTTCTATAGTCAAGAAGTGAAAAAAAATAAACGACTACACAAATATTATTTTTTTACAATTTTCATATCAACGAAAAGAATGTGGTTACTACGACAAAATTTACTCTGTCCTCTAGATTTTTGGGTGAATCTTATAGTTTAAAAATAATACTAAAAAATTATCAACATTAATTACTTATTCCGCAGATCATTTTTCAAGATATAAAATTATATACTAATTCATACAAATATTATAATAAAACACTCATATTAATAATTAATTTATAAAAACATGTAAAATTTAAAATTGATAGATAAAAATAAATAAAATAAATACACAATATAAATGGAGTCCACAAAATATTTTCATGGTCCCAACTTCTGAATGATAGTAAGCAGACATATTAACAGTCTCCCACTTAGAATCACACATTTATTGGCAAGTATATAATAATGTAATATATCATGATCAATTATGGCAAGTTCTTAGCATTTATGTATTGCAGAATTTAATTTTTGTTATTGTCGCTAATATTAATTCAGTAATGATACTCTCTCTGTCTCTAATTATTTATCCTTTTTTTTTAGTTACTTGTCTCTTTTAGTTGTCCATTTTGACAAATTAAGAAAGAATAATATTTTTACCTATAATATCCTCAATTAATTACTTTAAAAAAAGGTAGAACTTTTTGAAAATCTTAAATTTTTAATTCATCCACTTCATAATTAATAGGGGTAAAATGGTAAACTCACTATGACAATCATTATTTGTATGTGTAATGTGTTAGTATGATACAATTGACACCATTTTTAACTTGTTGAAATCATAATACTCTATTATACGAGTAAATATTAGTCAAAATTGAACAAATTATGATTACCAATTTAGCATACTGCAAAATATCGAATCATACCAAATAGCAATTGATATGGCAGTGGTATACAAGTTTTAAAAATCGAATATCAAAATTACGTAATCGAAATTTCAAACACTGACCCTATTAGCTTCTGTGTAATAGAGTAATAATAAATTTTATGATGCTGTTGAACTACGACTCTAATTAATACACAAGTATATTAATCTCCATCCATTTTATTTTATTTGTCCTTATAGAAAGAATTAAGAATAAATTTTTTTTACTTATTGATTTTACTGAATCAAGAAAATTAATCAAATTTAAAAATTTTAAAAACAATGAATAAGGTTAATTTAGTAAAATAAAATTTCAAAAAATATTTATTAAGTCAATATGAACTAAATAAAATGAAGCTGATGGAATATATTATTAGTCCCTCATTTTCAATTAATTGTCATAAATTTTAAAAATAATTATCTCAAATTATTTAATTATTTTAAAAGGTCAAATACAACTAGTATTTTGTTATTAATTAAAGGGAAAAAGATCTGAAATATATTCGAACTTTGACCGAAATTGTTGTAATAATACCGAACTTTGGAAAGGACGTTTTACCCCCTGCACTATTAAATAGTGTATTTTAAAGGTATATATGTGCTCACATGGACATCATAAATATTGCATCATTATAAATTGTAACGTGTCCACGTGGGCACATATATACCTTTAAAATACACTATTAAATAGTACAGGGGGTAAAAGGTCCTTCATAAAGTTTGATATCGTAACAACAATTACACCTAAAATTAACTTATTACCTAAAATGAACTTATTTTCAGACCCTTTTCTGTTAATTAAACAACTAAAAGATCATGGGGAGAAAGGTGGAAAAAGTAGTTGATGCACCATTAAACGATAATGAGGTTAAGGTCAAAAGTATTGGTTAGCTTTTTATTTATATTTGAGAAAAGTAAAAGCTACGGAAGCTTTTCTATATCGTATTCGTATGACACCGACAATTTTCCATTGCGTATCCCTTTCTTTCCAAGTTAAGGCAACTTCCTAGTAATGCCTTTTTTTAATTTTATTTCAGTTTCCAACTTACTCCCTTCGTTTCACTTATTTGTAATAGAGGCGAATTTAGAATTTTAAATTTATGTGTTTTTAATTAAATTTTTTTTTATATGCAGCAATAATCAGACAAAAAACGAGTATTGAAACTCCGTATATATTTAAAAAGTAACGAACTACTTAAACACAAGATATTATAATAAACATTACTATTACAATTGTACTTGACAAATTGTCATGTTTTGAAGACTATCATTGGTCGCATAATTAGATACACTTTCAAATATTTTTTTCTCTATAAAACAAACTAAATAATCAATCAAAAATTCATCACCAATTCTGCTAGGCAAGTAATTTTTAATATATTTCATCAAAGAAAAAGCTCTTCCCACTGTTTGTTGTAGTGACCAGTAATATTAAACTCAACTTCACAAGTAAATTAACAAGTCTTCAAGCTTTGTACAAATTTATTTTAATCAATGTTTCTGAAAAATATTCAAGTCTTTTCACATTTGAAAAAATCATTGTCTACTTGTCTCACATAGTCAATACAGTTGTCAAATTCAAAACTAAGATCCTCAAGCATGGAATCACTAAAATCATCCCGACAATAAGTAGCAAGTTGTAACACCCCTTATATTTTAAGGCGACTAACTCACTAAGCTTAATTAACTCGTGCACGTCAAAAATTATACTTTTCGTCTTACATTGTTTGTTGATGAGTTGTCTGGAGAAAAAGATTTTAAATGGATGATCATATTGCTTGTTACTCATAGTACATCAACATAAGTGTTATACTGAGGTTGGAGGCCAAAGGAAGCCTTGGAACAATAGTACAAGTTGAAGGTTACTGTACGACGGATTATACCACATAATTTCATATATGGTCTGACTTGGAATGGGCATATCTCCTAGTATATGAAAAGTTAAAAGGCTTATAACATATCAAATTAAAGATTTTTGAGTCTAGTTTCCAACGAACAAAACCGCTCATCAATATAGCTTTGGAATAAAAAGATATGCTTGTTTTACTACATACTATACAGGGTCATAAATTGGCCGCGATGGGCATGTGACTGGCACATGTTAAGTCGTTTTAAACGTTTTAAAACAGATATGTACGACTTGAATTCATTAGAGAGAGTTCCTAAGTTATTTTAGAAGCTCCTCATTGCTGGTTATTCAAGCTCTCTCCTCTCCAAAATTCCTAGTTGAGAAATCAACCAAGAATCAAGTGTTGTTCCTCAACCAAACATAGAATTCACTTAAGTATCTCTTTGGATTGAAGAGACAACCTTTCTCCATGGTTAATATGAGCTTAAGGGACTGTATATTCTTCAATTACGGTATGACCATGTTCCCTTCTTTTATGTATGTAATGTTCTTTATGTTCTAGCTATATTCTACGTGTAAGACTCATAGGACGGCGATATGAAACCGTGAGTCCAAGTTTCGCCTATGTCAAATGATGTTTTTGGAGAGGAGGAAGTGTGTAAAGTGGTTTGGTAGTAGAAGGTTAATGTGTTGGATTCATTTAAATGTACTGTATTGTTGTTAGTAATATGAGGGATTGAATACTATGAACACCAATCTATTTGAATGTCACTTGAGTTTACGCCCACCATGTGTTTGTTGAATTGACGATCCGACTGCCTATAGTTGAATTTTCATTGATTGTTGTTTTATATTGAAGGAGCAAGGTATAATTCTACCATTGTGGTACGTTAAAGGACTCAAATCAAGGAATGTAAAGGTGCCCCTTATCTCCATTTTCAAGCATGAATCTACGTCGTTGATAGGACTAGTACTTCTATGTGTTTTTAACTAATATTGAGGTATGGTATGGTTCTGTTAGAAAGTTGTGAAGACGTGGGGAAATCTATAGTTATCTAAATGTTTAAGATAAATGTATGTGACGCGAATGACTATATATATATTTGTTGTCGTAGTGGTAAATTGAGTTTGGAGACCCCTTATCGTGGGGACAGTTAGCTGGTCCTATATGTGTCTTTATTAAGAAGTAGTTGTGTATATGAGTCCCATGTTTCCATGTGAGTAAGGCCAAAGAACTATTGGAGATCATCGATGTCACACCCCTTTTTCGCGCAAACTGCGGGATGAGTTTTTTCAATTTAAGTGACGGTATTGATTAGAGATTACTTTATTTTTTCAGAGTCACCACTTGGAATTGAGTTATGGTGTTCCAAGTTACCTTTTTGTTTAATCCCTAATAAAAAAGAAATGACTCTTTATTTTGGTCTACAAACTAGAAATTCGGGTAAGGAATTCAGTTGACCGAGGGGAAGGTATTAGGCATCCCTC